CTTTTCTTTCTAAGATAGAACCCCAACAGTAAACTGTTTGGGGAAAATATTCAACTCAATAATCTTCTCCAACAAAATAACTCAAACGAAGTGGATCGATAGGTGATAGGCTACTGCATCACGATCCATGAAACCCCAAGACCCCAAGAGTTCTGGCAAAGTACTCTGTCCGTCCCCACTCTTCCATTGTAGCAACTGATACGAATTGGCCTTCAATGACAAGCTCAGCACTTTCAAGTTCGCTACGAATAATCTCCACCTCATTGATGAATGTCTCCTGAGCTCCACAGAACGACTTTTGAACAAACATGATTTGTAGATTGAACTATGTCTTCCGATTACGCCTGCTTGGAGACACTGCAAACAACATGACAATGAACATGCTGCTAAACCCCGACCAAAGTTCAGGATCGTAACCAACTTGCCGGAAGATATTCTCCAAAGTTGTCCTTTCCTTACCCTTCCGATGCCACTCAGCAAAGATCTTTTCAGATACTTTCGGTGAACCATCAGCCCTGCGGGTAAAAATACGGTTTGCCCTTTGACGAATAGCAGCCTTGGAAAGCGTATGCTGACCAAGTTTGGGCTGCCCAGCCCTTCTATCTTTGATATCGGGGATGTATTCCTCAAAGTACTCACCCCCAGGGCTTGCCATCTGCGACTTTTCGGGTGTTGCAGATTTTTTCGGACTTGGAAAAAGAGCTTTGGAGGTACTTGCGATAGGAGAGTGAGGAGAATCAGGCTGTCTGTCTGGCCAATCCAAATCATTGTAGGGGCACGCACGTCCCTGCTGGTTGGTGTAAATGATATCCACACCTACAATCTCCACATCAGAGTCAGACTGATCCCCATCTTTCACGGTGTCAGGGGTTTCCTGGCACTCCCCTGTGTCCGCACGCTCGTAGTATTGCGTGGCAGGTGTGCCACACTCACCGCTGCGGGCTGGCGAAGGCACAGGACGGTCTGGCGGGGCTTCGGACAACTCGGGTTCTAAGACCTAAGATTGAACATGAAGTGATTCTCAAAGACGGTTCTTTCAATCTAACATACAAACCCATCTTTGTTGCAGACAGGGAACCCTAAGTTGTTCTTTCATCTCCTCTTCGGAAAGCGAAGAGCTAAGTAGCTTGTCATAGTGAGTTTGCACTGCACCTGCAGCCTCCAAAAGACTGCTACCTGACCAAGCTCTGCTCATAGATGGGTTCATCGTCATGGGACCTGGCCTACAAGACACTACAGCAAACACTTGAGGCAGAGATCTGGCCCAAAAAGGCTCGAAGAGCAGAGACAATTAAGGGCGGTCAAGAATCAACAAACTATTCTTTTGGAAGAGACCCTTGTGCATGAACAGCCATCCAATCAATGGCGGTTTTGTCCATGGTGGATCATGACCTGCGCAGGATGCAGCATAGGCTCCATTAATTTCCAGAATTATGTATCTCACAGGGCACACAGAGGCTTTGTGACAACACAAAAGGGCTAAAAAAGGCGGTACGGGTAAAAACGTCGTTTTATCGGGTAAAAACGCCGTTTGATCGGGTAAAAACGCCGTTTCAAAATCCTGTATTTTTTAATCGATTGTTTTGGAGTGTTGAAGCCCCCATGTGTACGTGCACTGGAGCTCCATTGCTACAACCTATTGACCAAAATGTTCCTTAGACCTTTTTTAGGTCAAATAGCTCCAGCTTTCTGTTTTGAAGGCTGGGCCCCACATCCAAAAAAGATGGGAACACAGCTTTGTACTCCTCGGGCATTTTCAAGCATTTGCTGCCCCGCAGGTAAAGCAGCACTGAGCCAAGTTCTGCGTCTTCCCAGGACGACCAATTCCGCAAGAGGTCTGGGAGGGGAGTCTCCATGTCTACCTGGGAGGCTGGTAAACCCCTTATAGTTGAACGATGCTTCAAAAGTCAAAGTGTCGTGTCCTATGTTGGTCTTGTCAGGTCAAGATACTTCCAAATCAAAAGTTGGAGGGTCTTTGAGCATATCCGGAATCAGTGACACCAACGACTTGGCGAAGAATGGCGTATAAGTCCTTAGCTGAGGGCAGTAGCATACCACTTTACTATACCACATTAGTTACTACGATTCCAAACCCCAGAAGACTCAAAGTGCACCGGTTTGCGGAAAAGGTTCTGTGTCTCTTTGAGGGCAGGAGTTCCTTGGTATCTTTTCCTGCCTTGCCCATCTACATAGGCCCGACATGTTTTGACCAACTCTTCACCTTCATGCTCTCGCTTCCCGGAGCTGGAAGCCGAACAAGCAATGTTGAACAAAGCACCAATCCGCTTTCCGTTGGAAACTAGTGTGGTTCTCTTTGGTGTGCTACTGGCAAAGGATTGCATCCAGAAGTGGATTTGGAACACCTTGGCCAAAGTTGTTTGGGAAAAGACTCTGACTCCTTCCAATGAGTGGGGATGGGTGTGAACATGCCTGAAACATCAACCAAAACAATTTCATCAATAGTGACACTGACTTGTTGCCCTACAGATCAGGAACATTCCATTTGTCCAGCCAAACCCGCCTTCACTCCGGCCCTACGAAGCATCCGGAAGAATTCCACCAAGTATGTAAAGAGCATCGACGAGCGGGGGTTCTCCAGGATATATGTTCCATTCATTGCGCAACAAAGCAGCATAAGTAGGCCACATCTTCACAGGGAAATTACACTAAACCAAAAAAGAAACCCAGCTCAAACAAACACATTGTGAGTAGTTCAAACCCAGCTTGCATGCGACCCCACTCCTGACAGCCATTTTGTTACCCTTCCGTGTAGCTGTTCCAGAGACACATCCCTGAGGAACTAAGATGCTACGCCGGGATGTGCCAGCGTTTACAGCTACCCAAGTTGAGCATACAGTAGCCAGGACCATCACCAATTGCCCAAAGCATGCCTGAACGCCCAGGAGAACTGCAAGCCTCGGCGACCGCTGGAATCGAGGCAGATGAGCAGGGATCTCACGAAGATCGATCGGTGGTGCAGATTGCTTGGTGGCCCCAATAGGTACCAACAAAAAAATGTTGAAAACAAAGGTGAAGTGACGCCATTCCAACTTCGCCGTTAATGTCCATGGTATTTCTCTTTGCAAACTTGTATTTCTTTTGGTTCTTCCTCTTCGGTTTGGGAATGTGGCCACGGTCTATATCGAAAGAAGCGACTGCAAAGCCTGTCTTTGCAGCCAAAGCGGACACCCGACCCTTTCCGGAAAAGTACTCTATGACCTGCCAAGGGGATCTTGGTCTCGGAACGACCAACCACGAGCATAAAAGCATCACCAGAATAAAGTCCTTAGCGCTGGGGGATTGGGCTGTGATTTGAATTAGACGCACAAGAACAAGAACTGTAGCTTCGGTAGAGCTAGCTCACGAATAACCCCAAGTGTCCGTGGGCGCTCCCATCGCAACCAGCCGGCGGGCGACGAGTTCTACCTCTTCTGGAGTCATTGTAAGGCTCTGTGTGTTCCCTTGAGCATGGAAGGCTCCAGGGTCTGAGCATTCTGTAGCTAACCATTTGAAATTTGAGAAGCTTCCTGAAGACCCAAAACATGTCAGCTCTACCACTGAAGTAGCCACGACTGGCCAGCCAAGATTGCCCTTTGCGGACAGGCGTGAGGTCCACGTACCTGGAGCTGGCCAAGGCATGCAGTGTCAATTTATGAACACCTGAAAGCCTTTGCAAGGCACTTGTTTTTTTGCACAAGCCGTCGTTCTGTCATCGATCCAACGGGTCAGGCAACACTGCCAACCAGGATCGGGCCCAACCACAGCTAACGGTCAACAGCTTGCATGTCACGCATGTGTACTTGTAGTCAAGTGAGTTTGGCCCAGACCCAGCGGTGTCTAAGTTGCTCACACCGTGCTTCAAGAACCTGAAATTTCCCAACAAAACCTGATTCTTTCTACTCCTAGGTCCTACGCCCTGTTTTGAATACAAGGCCTAATGAAAGAATCACCCCCAAGACAGGCTCACATCGATCACTTCTCAGTGGCTTCCGTGCCACCTCAAACGAGGAGGGCAGTGGGAAGTTGAAAACAATCACCAGGATCGAGCGGGGTTAAGTATAACTATAACTATAACTATACACAGAGAGGTCCAAACTTTACCAGAGGTGCCTAGTAACATTTCTCCACCAAGAAAGTGGCAGCCTTGCTGCCAGCAATTGCTCGGTACTCTGCCTCGTTAGCGTCCGGCTCTTCCAAAAGCGACATGAAGGCCCAATCCCACCAGCCCAACTGCAGGGGTTAGTCAAAGCCACCTTTTTTAGAAAATCAAAGCACTGATACGAAAGCAAAAACAAAGTCAAACACGCTCAAAAGTAAACAGGGGCTCTCGCAAAAGAGAAACAACCCCAACCTCGAGCGCGCTTGAATCCTTGACCTGCGTGACGATACGAGTCTTGTAGATATCCAGCATGACATCATAGCGGGTTGCAGCCTGAGTGCTCTTGGGCCGACGCCGACCAGCAAATGTCAGCCGGTCAGTTTTGGCTGCCTTGGCCTTTGGTGGCGTCTTCTTGCCCTTTGGCGTCTCCTTGCCCTTTGGCGTCTTCTTGCCCTCTGGCGATTCACCCTTGCTCTCCCCAGGCTTGCACTTCGAGTTGCCAGGCTTTGCCTGCTTGGCTTTTGCTTTTGGCTGTCCTGCCTTAGCCTTCCCTCTGGAAGTTTTTTTCACTTCATCCTCAGCCACAGCCTCTTCTTCAGGCTCTTCCTCCACCTCCTCCTCCTCCTCCGCTCGATCATCTTCCTCCTCCGAGACTGAGACAGCCTCAGAGTCAACATCAACTGGCTTTGCCATCTTGGCCTTGGATTTACCACTGGGCTTGCAGGCCGCAGGGCGCTTCATCGCACGACCACGTCCACGCCCACGCCCACGACCAGGTGCTCGACGGCTCTGTTTCGGATCCCCCCTTTCTCCATCCATCTTGTCAACCTTCTGCTTGCATTCCTTGAAAGTTTGTTGGTCCTTCCTTCGGACCATGGGGGCTTCGTCCTCCGAAAGCACTTTCTCTCCCTCATACTTCTTTTTCTGGTTCAGGGCCGCATCCTCTTCAGCGCGCTTTGTAGCAGCCACTGCAGCTGCTTCCAAGGCTTCATCTTCACCGGGTTCGGCCTGACCCAAAACCAAGGTCTTGGCACGGATGAGATCAGCCTTTGCAGCAAGGTCTTCTTTGCATTGGAAAGGCTCGTTCGGAGGAGCTCCCAGCGCAGGCGCAGGACACTCTACTGGTAGCTCAGGCTCGATCGGCTGGGTGTCCATCGAGTCAATGCCTTGGCAGCAGTCACGAAATAAGTAACAAAGATCAAAAAGTTGGGAGCCCTTCCACCCCAAGAAAACAAAAGGAAAACATGGTGGAGACAAGATTGAACAATTCTGCAAAATTCAAGAAAGCTGCCCAGGGCCGGTGTTGCTGGTGACACTCTACCACACTTGGCAGCGCGATCGTGGCTGATTTCCGCAAGCCTCTTCCTTTGTCAAAGCATTGGACTGGGGTCTTAAAAAAAGAAGATTCCGGCAATTAGCTTTTTGAACATTAATCCACATTAAACCCAGAAGCAATCAACCAGTTCAACAAACCAAAACGATCAAGCATGGATGAGGATCCGGAGTGCTTCGGCCCGGGCATGAGCATCAGCTTTCAACGCCTTTGGTGGAAGAGGTGGAGGCAGCATCGCTTCTGGGCCTGCCTGAGCAATTTCCAGACCCTTGTCATTCTTGTCCTCTTTCTCCTTTGTCTCAGGCTGCATTGCTTGTGCGCCTTCAGGCTTTGGCAGCATAGGTGCTGCACCCTTTCCATCATGCGGTTGGGTTTCTGCCTCATTTGGCAAAAGCCGGAGAGCCGTAGGTTTGGAATGGTCCATGTCCACAGGGACCTCCGGATCATCATCTACAATTTCTTCTTCTGGTTCTTCCACAGCTGGCTCATCAAAGAGATCGGCTGGAGTTTCACTCACTGGAGGCCCGTCCCCAGCACCTGCTGCCGCACCAGCCGCAGGGAGTGCTGAAGAGCTAGCATCACCGGCGCTGTCGCCATCATCGTCTTCGATGTCGATGTAGCCATCTTCAGTGGCCGCCAGTGGTACTGCCTCCGCCCAGTACTTCTCCAAAATCGCGAAGAATGCTTCCAGCTTGGGTTCCTGAAGGGGTAAGAACTTGGCATGAAAGCTTCAATGAACAAACAAATTATACAAGCATAGACCCCAAACAGCTTCAAAACGATTCAGATTCG